TTGAATTAAGGAAAACAAGTGTTTTAAAGATGTTCAGAATGACTGTATGCATGTGGCAATGTGACATGCTGCTGTTTTGTTTCTTTTTTTCCCCAGTAAGTAAGGGACAAAGATGCCTAAAGCAGTTCTCAAACCTCCACAACCTTTTGATTAATTTCACTTGTTTGCTGTTGTTCATCAGCCTAGTCGTACAAGTGACTGGCTCTTTAAATCAGAACTTTTCCATTACAGTCATGGATGTTTCTTCTTCCTACCTCATTCTTTCACCAGTCACGCCAAAGTTATCACACACTACATTGCAATCCAAACATTCTGGTTTTAGTGAGAATGCATAAATTATTTTGATTTGTGATTGCTGTAGACTCTGAAAGCTTGTCCTGTGCTCATTCCACAGAAATCATTCTTAGAGACACTGCATGTTACATATGGTTTGGGAGGTCAGCTTTGTAGGTGGCTTCAGAGCTGAGTGATTCTCATCAGTGCTGAGTACCAAATCAAGCAAAATCAGGCACAGAACAACCACCACCAGCCTGACCACATTCAGCTACATCCCACTGCTAATATCAAGTTGATAGACTTTTAGTCCTGGAATGTAAAGAACCCAACCCAAGCCAAAACAAAACTGAGAACCAACTACCACCCTAAATCTAATGAGACTTTATCTGTCTTGGTTTTTTTTTCTTCCTGGGATATAATAAATTAAACATAGTATGAAATGCAAAAAGGTTACATTGAGACATATAATATTTGAAGGTTTAATTCATTTTTCTAGTGTATAAGACACAAGGCTATTAAATTTTTAAAGCAGTGATCTCCTGAAGTCCCTACTTTATGAGGGCTTTCTTCATAAAGATAAATGGTTTCCTTGCCAAATCAAATGCAGATTTGAAACAAATTAAGTTAATGTTCAACGGTACAAGGTAGAATGGATGGGGGAACTGTTTTATTTTGCATTGTAATAACCATATACACCTAAATCAATAGCTGTGGAAAAAAAAAGGCAATAATATCACGTAACTGCAGGAAATGAAATATAGTGAGATGAAGGGGGGAGCGGGTTGCAGAATGAAAGGATTTGTATTGGAATAATGACATTTCATTAAAAAGGGAAGGAGTGCTATTGAATATAAGTCCATACCAGTAAATTCTATTTCTTATAATAACACTTGAGATGAGTTAAAGTTGCCCAAGTATTGTGATAGAGCATCTTGCTGAATTCCTTTCTTATATTATGCTGTAATTTTATGTTAAAAGAAAAATTTGAAATGTTAAAGAGGCAGTGCATGTTTTCTAAAGTGCTTTCTATTCCTCCTAATGTTTCATTTAACTTGTATATTATCCTGTGCTCCTGCAGTCTGAGCAAGAGGAAGTTTATCAGTTTTGTTCTTCTGTGAGTTTCCATTAAGGAAACAAAACAAAATGTGAATTGGACACTGGTGAAAGGTGTTGATTGAGAGTGCTGGGGATTAAAGCTCTCTTGTTATCCACAGCACAGGGTTGGGCTGGTGAGTAGCAATGCCAGCAAACAGCAGAGTGAGTCCAAGCTCCCTGTAACTTTGAAGGGTCAGATCCTCAGGTAGTGTAAATCAACAGCAGCTATTGAAGATATAGAAGTTAATACTTCAGAATGAGACTGTCTGCAGTCTTTTTTTCAAAGCATCTTGAAAAGGAATCCTGGTTCCCCCTGGAGTCAATGGCAAAGATCTTACTGATTTCAGGATTTTGTCCTCTGGGTGTCACTTCTGGAGTGTTCTTGAAAGAATCACCATTTAAAATCATAGAACAGAATCATAGAATTGTGTTGGAAAGGGCTCTTAAAGACCATCTAGTCCAACTCTATTGCAATGTACAGGGACATCTACAGCTCCATCAGGTTGCTCACAGCCCAGTCCAGTCTGACCTTGAATGTCTTAAGGCACAGGGCATCCACCACCTCTCTGGGCAACCTTTATTATAAATAACTATTTCCATATATCCAATATAAATATCTTCACTTTTAGTTTGGAACGCTTTCCCCTTGTTCTATCACAACAGACTCTAGAAGACAGGAAGCTACTCCGTGTGTTTCATGTCAGTCATTTCCCGTTTTGAGATTGCCCATGGATGGACCAGTCCCACTGGTTGGGCAACTGAGAGATACATGTGGTTACTGGAAGTCAAGATGAGACTATACTGTGTATGTCACCGATGTCAGATCTAGAGGAGCTCATTGGACGGACAAGTTCCTTTTGGTCTTTTGCATTAACTCGGGTATCAGTGTGGGCATCGCTGCTGAACCTCTGCTGAGTGATCATCAGGAACATCACTTGCAGTACTAAAAGGGGTATGGGATTGTAAAGAAAGGGACATTGACAGTGTCCTAGTGCCTTCATTTCAATTGTACCAGCATGGTTGGAACTTGAATGTCAGACAGCTGCCTCAGAGCGTCTCCCTGCCATTCCTCTACAGTGTATGCAGGGCACATGAAGTGGCCATAATCTCTTTCAGCAGTTTTTGCACTGTCTTCTTTTGCAGACAATGTCATAAAAAGCATTTAGCATAGAGCTAGACCTGTATTTGTGTAATAATGACAATTTTGACATTAATGACAAAAAATTAAGTTTTTGGAACTTAACTGTGACTTACTGACTTGCACACTGGTGAAAAGATTAAGAAGAGGAGCCCAAAACCAAGAGAACACGGCACCTCTTAGTGTCAGTCTCATCATATCAAGGCTTCTGTTTCTTTTGATGTGTTTCTGGCAATTATAGAAATCAAGTAATGCTTTACTTGGATTTCCTGTACTAATTAAATAAAATTACTTTAGTGAAAAATACACAAAAATTCAGAAAACATTTGGATAAAACTTGGCTCATTAGAAATTGTGGCACCCTGTCTGCCCATCATAGAAGAGACATTTTTGTTCAGAGCTCGTGGCTTAATTTCCTTTGAACAGACGTCTGACGATCCCCTGTGTGCAGTTAAAGGATGAAACTTTTCCCCACATACATAGCACTGCATCGTTGTTCCCCCAATACAATTTGCATCTGTGTCATTCCTACTTATGCCCTGAGCAACCAACCAAGGAGCCGTCCCTTTGTGCTGAGCCAGTGGGGGGCTTGCTTTGAATTATTTTTATACTCATAATGAGCTATGTGCTTCACTTGTTGGTTCATTTGTTTTAATAGGGATGGGTCAAGCAAATTTCAGACCTCATTCAGTTTGAAGAGACTCATTGCTAAGAGCACTCTAAAATTATATGTATCTGTACCTGAGGATGTCTGAATTCCTTAGCTTGCTTCAAAACAAGATCCAAATATGAGCTCGCTGAAGCAAATCTACTTTTCAGAACTGCATATTGCGAAATCAGTACCCATCTGTATCAGCAGGAGTTGGTATCATCACATCCTGAACGATCTAGGGTTCATCTGGATTCCTATTAATATGTCTCATCTGAGAACATTGTGGGCTACAGTTTTCATGCAAATGTATTTGTTTCAGCAATGTCATTCATAGCCTTCTTTCATAAGTTCATCAACATGTTGTTATGCCACAGGACTGATAGCATCTGAGGATCTGGCTGTCTTTGATTCGGGCCATGAGTGAAATGGGAGCTCAGTGGAATTAAATAGTCTTTTAAAATAAATTTTTAGAGAAGTTTTGTTTTGTTTTGTTTTTTAAACAAGAAAAAAATAAGAAAAAAAGTATACCCACACTCTCATGTAATGTGGCACTGGGAGTTTCATTTCACAATATGTACAACTAATCAACAATCATTTGTGCATTGCTATCACATTTTCTCGTTCTGCTTCTTCTGGATAGGACACCTGGCATATGATCCCTTAAATTGCTTTTTAATTTTACTTCTCAAGAAATTAATTATTGACATGTCCTAGAATCTGAGCTACTCTAAGCAACTGTTAGTGGGTTTGTCATGTACACTTACCAGTAAAATTCACAAGTTGTGCTGTCCTAGAAATTACGTAAGTCAAATGGAGAGCAGAATCATGCTGCATGGTTTATCTAAATAACAACACAGACTTAATGGTAAATATTCACTCTGAACTTTCCAAGAACATCTTGTAGCATAAAAAAATTTACTGCAGAAATTCTCAGATAGTGATTTTAGATAATCGGTAAATGTAAGAATTTCACTATGTTGCAAGAACAGTAAAAAAAAAAGATGAAATATACTGAATAAAGATTTTATTGTGAGTTATTTGCTCAGCTCTGCTGCAGCATCCATTTTTTCCCCCTATATAAAAATAATGAAGTCAATAAATGTGTTTAGGTGACCTCGGAGACATACAAAAAGGATGTTATGAGATGGGTGAACGCTGGATACAGTATTTCATTCAGATGCTGAACAGCTGTTGCAGTAGACAATGCTGGCATCCTGTTTTTCACCATTAATACTAACTTAAATTGCTTTTTGATTGTGTATATATTCTATCATAGTGTGGGAATGTGAAAAAGACTCCTAACTTGTCTGCCGTTCTGTCTCACCTGCCTGTGCAGCTTTCTAATGTGTAATTAGAAATGGTGAGTAGGAAGCTTGGTGGGCAGTGTGAGGGACTGCATACAGCTTTGCCCAGACGCTGCTGATAAGCTAGCCTCTTTCTAGAGCCCATTGGGCTGATCAGTTGGCCTAGTGCAGATAGCTAGGTACAATTTCCTTGTTCCCATGCACAAAAAAACTAAGGGGGTGGCCCCTTGTGCTTTCCTTGGATGTACTCCTCCTAGGGAGTTACCTGCCTTGGTTCCTGTCTGGTCCTAAGTGCTCTGTGCACAGAAATTTGAAAAATACTGTACAAGGAGATAAACAAATTAGCACGTTAGGACCAATTCTTACACAGATTTAATATTTGTGGCAGTTGTGCATTTCCCCTTTGCAGGATGATGAAAACCAGAGGAATTTTGTGTTAACAATTAACAAGATGAAGAGAATTCTGTGTTAGCTTGACAACATTTTCTCTCCATTTTCTCGGAGTTCAGTATTTATTTTCTTTCCAATCCAACAGCTGTTGGAGTGGAGGGGCACACCTTGTCAATTGCTGAACGACCTCCTTTGTAAATTGAGTGAGAGTGTGCGATTTGCCCTGGAGCATCTTTTGTAAGTAATTAGTGCAAATCAGTCAATAGATCTGTGTTAGCAGCACCTTAAAAATTGCACTAGTTCGGAAAATGCTGCAGTCTATTATATGTTATCTTTTTTAAGTGCCATTGGTTTAAAATGTGAGAGAATTAACCATTTTTAAAAACAGATCAGTAGTACTTTTGATACAGATGGCTTTATGCATTTATGCATACAGGAGGTGTCTTCCACTTATTACGTATAAAAGTACTTCTGAGGTATTTCCCCATTAACTACTTGCACTGAAAAAACATGGATATACAATGATCCTTTTGACTTGCTAACTCTATGGGATGTTCCAGCAGCTCCACAGATTTTCTTCGCACATGTATTGTCTGTTTTGCTGAGCTACAGCTACCCAAGAGGCAAGCCAAATGGAGGGGCTCTGATCTTAATATGGGGTGGGAAGGGAAAGGTTGAGCTATATAGATGTGATGGCTACCAGGGGAGGTTGCTTGGGATTGAGAGATCTGTGAGTGCAAGGACCAGCTCTAATGTCCATTTTGGCATTTCAGGGTCACACATGGCTGTCACACTCCACTGGCTCTTCATCTTCTATGGTGCAATTTTTTCATCTACAAAGTATAGATGCTGAAATGCTCCAACCAGCTCTTTGCCCCTCACTGAATTCTTGCTAATGGAGTCCAGTTTTTTTTTTCTTTTTAATGGAGAGAGATATCATTTATCATTTGAGTCTCTGTCTTTCTCAGATTTTGTGATTTTGCAACTTCATGGTTCTGATTCCTTTTCAAAGCAGTCTGCCTTTCAGACCCTGGGGAGATGAACTCCAGTGAGTGTGCTGACATGAAGAGTGCTCTCGAAAGCACATCTAGAGGCCTCCACTCCTTCATATTCACATACCAGTGCCCACTTGTTTGTTGCTTGTATGAATAATTAAAAAAGAGTTTTCAGTAGTTTAGAAAATTTAATCAAAACAGAAAATAATCTCAGATCCTGAATAATACCTGTTTGAAAGTGGTGACCACTATATGTCCATCACTCTGAGATGAGCCTGGCCTGCCTTTCTAGCTGTGTGTAGAACACGAGTTCTTCAGAGGACTAAAAGACAGTTTTTTAGGGTTTTTGTTGTTGTTGTTATTGTTTTTAAGAACTGTAATTAAGCAATCATAATAAATAATTAAGCAATCATAAATAAATACATAATAAATAAATAAATAAATTTTTAAATAAATACAGCTTGCATTTACATTTTAACATGCACTTCTGGTGTTTATTTAACTTTAATTCTTTTTCACCCCATCTATAGCAGGCATTCTGAATTCTGCCACTGCCATGACAGGAGCCTTTGGACTCAAGCTGCCATGGTCCTTGAAGTCATCAGCAGGGTGGGACAGGTGGGTTGAAACTGAAACGCCAACCAGTTAGAGAGATGCAGTGTTCTACCCCACTCAGAACCAGATCTTGCAAAGCAGTTCAAGCTTAATTCTCATCAGAAACGGTGTACGTTCATCTCAGCTGTATAAAGTTCAGCGTTCCCCACAGTCAGAGATCTGGACTGGCTTTTCAGAGGAGCTCAGCAGGCACCAACCCTTGTTAAGAACAACAGGGTGCTGCTCAGGATTGAATGCCTTTGAACGTCTGATCGTGTTGCTTTATTTATTTATGTAGATTTGTGTATGCACAGATACATACAGCATGCCCAGGAACAAGCATGCACACACACATGACAGCTCTAGGGCCTGGATTTTCAAAGCATCCTAGGAGAATACATCGAGAGATGGGTGCCTAATTAAAATTCATCACCTTCCTGCCTTTGGCATAACTTAAACCTACAGCTAAAACCTAATACCAAAGCATGACTCAGGGGCAGCAGCATAATTCAATAAAACCCACAAGAAGCAAGCTAGGCAAATTAGCCTTCCTTTCACCAGCCCTACAGTTCCCTATTTCTTATTTGTGAGTATGGAAGGAAAATGACAAATGAATGCCAAGCCTGTAAAATAGTGCCCGTAGGTGGGAGTCTGGGGTCAGGGGCTCTCTCTGCCATGTATGCACATAATACTCTCAGCAAAAAGAGTCTGACTGTTGTTGGGACTGCAGTGTGCTGTTGCATGGGTGTGTGAAAACCATACTTGGGTTACAGAGTACTTTCAGATACTTTGCACTGGAACTGAATCACAGTAGGAACAGCATATCGTCTCCCTTCATTTGTACTGCAAAGCAACTGACAGATTCCCCAGAATCTTGTTCTTTATCTCTATTTACAAGAAGAAAATCCTGCATCCTGAACGATGATTTACCAAACTGATAGTTTTTATAACAGAATGCAGCGCTGTTTAGATTCTAACCTTGGTCCCAGGAGGGAGGAGGGTACCTGAGCTCAATGCCTCACATCTATTCTGTATCCAGTACAGCTAACTTAAACAGCCCACCAGAGGAGGAGGTGGAATACATTCATCAGAAAAGCTTTTACATCACCACAAAACTCAAAATCCTTGAGGATACATCCTCAACAGGTAGTTTGGAGGAGTGTAGAAGGTGATTTTTGGTCTCTGGAGGCTGCTGTGGAGAGGCAGGGAGCTGAAGGCCCCTCTGTCCTAACCAAGCTGAGAGCCAGGCTGGGTTGGAGCCTGGGACAGAATTGCTTCTCCAGCAGCTGAATTGTAAAAGAAAGTGGCTGCAAATACATTTTGCAGGAGGAGTGATTCTCTGTTTCTGTTTCACTCAGAAGAGGCTGGCAGGATGGGGCCTCTGAGGAGCACAGGAGAGGAGCTTTAATTCCTGTGTCTTGCTCAGATTTGGTCAGAAAGCAGCACTGAGTTGTTCCTCCTGAGCTGCTGTGTGGGTATGCTTGGGGCAGAACGCTGTGCTCTGCAGTGGAACAGGCAGGTGGCTGTGAGCCTGCTACCTCTGACCCTATGCACAGGACCCCTCAAAGGGGGTGAGAGCCCAACTCCCCATTTTGTGCTTTTGCTCCTGAGTTCTGCATGCATTTGGCTCAACCCGAGGCTGGACCCTGACACAGAGTAGCTCAGAACTGCTTGGCCAAATGTTTTGTTCTCTGATTGCCAGCATCAGGCTGTAAGCTGCTTTATGGAGTCAGAAAGAATGAATCCCAAACCACTTTTGCTTCCCCGAACCAGTCAGGTTCGCTGCAGTTCTCTCGCTTATGCTTTTGGATGGTACTGACAGTGGAAAATGGATTTTTAATTAAAAAGAAAAAGGTATTAACAAATACCTCACATCAAAGCAACTGGTCTCTACCCTAACTAACCCAGGCTGCTTGCCCCCGCCAGGCTCCTGGACAAACACACTTCACCACTGTGATCTTAAGAGGCTGTAGTATCTTTCAGACAAGCTCATTCCTTAGACTTAATTAAAACCTAGTTCACTCCTTTATTCAATTTATGAGGCCTAGCCAGTAGGATTAAGCGATTACAGGCAAAAAGCCCCATTTGTGAAACACTCATAAGCTCAAGCTGCTAGACTGCTCAGTTGTACTCCATTAAATTAATAAGGAATGAATAGACTGATCCATTATGAATAAAGCTGTGGGGAGCCTCAGCATTGCCTCAGACTCTCTGCACACTCCTTAGAGAACATTTGTGCAAAATGATTATGTTCATATTCATTCAATTGGAATTCTATAAAAGTGGAATGCATAAATTACTCTAAAGATGGGGAGTTTATCTTAAACATTAACTATGTGTGTGAATTAATAAGACTATTATAAAACCATTAGCATTCAGTGTATTTACCTACGTATGCTGCATACCTAAACTAAATTCAACAATTGTTCCTAATTGCTATTCGTGTTGTGTGATCAAGCTGTGGTTCATTTTCCCTCGTAGTTATAATATTTATGAATTAGATTTTCTGTCAAAACTTCTGAATGCACCTTTTCTTTTCAGCTTTTCATTTGCTCCTGTAGTTTTTCAGAATATCAAAAACACTGGACTGGATCGTATTGGTAAACAGAAGATCAACAGATGCATGCATGCAGATGTGTTAAAGGACAACACTGAATAGTGAACATACATGCTCAAAACTAAACCTTTGTCTTTTATAGGGCACCAGATGGGCAAGGAGGCTACAGCTCCTGCAGGACCCAGAAGAAATGTCCAGATCCAGAGGGTGAGGAATTCATCCACCAGCTTCTGTCAGGTTGTGACTGTGCAGTCTGTTTCTTCTGGAAGAGCCCCAAGTGACAGGTAAGAAATGGAACACAAAAACACAAAACAAAAGTAGAGTGGGTTGGTTAAAAAGAAAGCACAACAGTTTTTAAAGGACTAATCCAGGTTTGTGTGATGATAAGTAGGAGTGTGCTGCAGGAGGAGGGAAGGGCTCAGGGCTGAGCTGCCTGGCGGAGATGCTTTGAGCAGATGACTTCTCCTCCTGTCCTTTTTCTCCCTTTCTGCCTTTTGAGATTCACTCTGTTGGTGCAGGTGAAGTAGTGGATCCTGTGGGATTAGTGAGTTGATTTGCCAGGGGTCAGGTTGAAGCCAAAAGCCCTGCATTGCTTGGACTGATTCAGTATGTGAAATGGCAATGAGGGATACCTAGGCATGGTATTATTTTCAGTGCTGTTCCTGAGCAGAGCAAGGAAGTTGTGTGTTAACATAGGTTAGCTAGCACATCTGACCTTCATTGTTCCCAGTGGAAGCAGTGACAATCTATTAGTCTTCCACAAGGAATATCACTGTCTCACAGCAGCTCTGAAAATCCCCCCAGGACACTCCTGGAACAACAATAATTCAGCAAGAGTTCACACAACGTTAGAGCTCTGTGAAATGTTAGTAACAAATCTCGCCTGGATTGAGAGGGGGATGTGGTAGGAAGGGGGGGAGGGATTGGTTTGAGAGGAGGCACAAACATTTCTAACAAGGCTGACCAGGTGGGAGTTTTGCACCAGGAAAATTGTGCTTATGTTCTTGAAATGAAATAGCCAAATAGATAAAAGAAGGCGGAAATCAGGTTTTTAGCATAATCGTGCTTCTGAAGTAGAGTATCAAGCTCAAAATCTGCATTTTAAAATGAAAGATGAAGAATTTAAGCTAGGAAACTAGGAAGCCCAGAAGGAGTCAGCTGAGCTCTCAGGAAATGGAGTGACAGAGTTTTAATACAGCTTGTAGAAAGACTATTTGAATCAAGGTATGATTGCTCTTGATACCAAAATAATACTGTGTATGGACAAGTAAACTTGTAGAAGATTTTGACACATGAAGTGTCTGCTGAAATCTTTTCACCAGTGTGCTTATAGAATAAAACGGTATAAGTAAAGAAATTCTTAGGTTGGCTACTGGGTTGCTTAGACTTTATCTTCTCAACTTCAGTTACAGTATCTTTTAGAACGCATTCTGTCTTTTAAATATTCCTATATCCTTTAGCCTGTAGCACGCTTGCGTTTTGTGTCCTGGCCTAAACTGGAGCATGGGCTGTTAGTGCTTGCAGTGGGGAGACAGATGCCTCGATGTGGGTGTCCTGATCCAGTGTTTGGGCTTAAGTAGAGATACAGTGTGGTCTGTGTTCAGGGCTAACCTCTAACTTGCTGTTTTGGAGATCTTTCGATTGGGAGGCCTATCTCAAGGCGCAGAGTTACTTGATGTCACTAGAGCCTCTGGGTGGCTTAATCCAGTCTTGATAGGATTAATAAACGAATTCTTGACTGAGCCTGCATGTGAAGGCTGTATTGGAGAAAGGCTTATTCTTTGGCCCAACTCCAAGAGAAACTAATCATCATGAACTTCATGCAGATTTACGATTATTCTTTCTATAGAAAGGGTTCGGCCAGCACACCGGCAATAATGAAAAGACTGCAGAAAAGAACAAAGCCAAACATACACAAGACAAACATGGTATATAGGTTTGTTTCCTTGAAATCCTTTGGATTTTCACGGAGAACTGATGTAGGAGTGCTATCATGTATTAAACCAGATAGAATCGTTATGCTCATCTCGACTCCAGGAGACAGAAATATCATACAGCATTATTTTTTCAAGAGAGATGGTATCACTAAATGAAGTGATAAGAAAGAAAGTTACTGTAGTAGTATGAAATATGTCCACTGGCTGCCATCAGCACAGTAATCTTTTATGTTCAAACTATTACTCAAAGTACGGATTATTCAAATGCTGTTCTTCTGTGGCATTCTTTTGGATGATCTATGGATGCCTGTTCAAGTCAGTGAAAAGAATGCTATTATTTCTGGTTGTTCTTAAAAAAGTGGTAGTGAAATAATGTATCTATTACATTTCAGTACACACATCTATATACATATTGGAAATACAGTATTATAGAAAGCATTTTAAAAGATGCTATTTAATTATCAAAATTCTAATTATATATATAAAAAAAAAAAAAAGCTCATCCAGAATTTTAAGCTTTCTTCTTTTTCTTTCCTTTTTTTTATTTCTTTTTCATTTTTGTTACTTAAAGAGGGTTGGAAAAGATTTTGCAATCTATTTTCAACACTGGGTTTTTAGGTATGCATGGATTTGTTAGATTATCTCCTACTTGTAGGATTTTCTTAAATAAGGCTGTGGAAGAGTCATTAAAATGAAAACCAAAGCTCTTTCACAGAGTTTTGGTTGCAAACTTTTTCCTTTTTTTTTTTCAGTACAAAATTTTTCGCATTAAAATATGATTTTCCTGCCTCTTACACGAAAAGGACATAATGGGTGGACATAGGCTGTAGAATTCTTTCATTATTTACAGCAGCAGACCAGTGGTTTATAAGATCCAGTATCTATCTCAAAAGAAGATTAAAATCACTTGGCCAGCCAGGCAGTACAAGATGGCAACAATTCTTCTGTGATCCTTGCAAGTGATTAGTGTATTTCTAGTACCATGGGGACTGTTAATCCTTGTGACTTAAACTAAGTAGTGTAACTACAGATGTTACTACTTTGTAGATTCTGCATTATTTGGATCTCATTAATGTGTGACATGGTTTATGAGCTACATGATATGTGGTGTGTGAATGGGTATACAAGGATGGGGTGCCTCCCACTTGGGGGGCTGTATAAAGGCTGATTTCATTTTGTGTACATGCTGTATGGGTGAGCATAAATCTTAACTCTGGAGAGTCAAGAAACTGCTTGCTCCTTCCCTGTCCTTGCCTGAGAGGCTAAATGGAATGCGTGGTTAAAGCACAGCAGGAGCTGAGAATATGTTACTGGTGGTGTTATCCTATTTATTGGAAGATGCCATCGTGGTCATGCTCAGGGCATAGGGCATCCCTTTTCCCCTGCAAAAGCACTTGTACCAGTGCTGATATGGGATACTGCATTCTGTGTAGTCCTGAGTATTTGTGATGATATTGAACAACAACAGGTTGAGGGGAAATTGCTTACTAATTCACAGTGGAAGAGGGTGGGTCATCTTAGAACAGGATAACCAGGACTCTCCACCCTCTGAGTGGTGTTCAGTGAGATGCTACCATGACGTGTCTGTTAGGCTTTGTACTGCTTGTGCCTCCTTGTTCTCCCTTACACTGACACCTGGGGCAGGTCTCCAGGTCTCAGTTCTGTTTGATTGAGATTGAAAATAGCAATTTAATTTAATTCCTCTGCTGTAGACAGCATGGTAGCAGACAGCATGGTAGTATTGATGATCCTGTCCTGGATATCATTTCTCCTTGACATGAAGTCTAATATCTTTGAAAGACAAATTTGATAAATGATGACAGCAGATACCATGGATAATACCCACATGAGTATATATGTTCCAGAATATCATTTTTCACACATTTTGCTGATATTTATGAATTTTGTGTGCTCAGAACCACTACTAGCACCATGACATGGAGACGTAAGCAGCCACTGTATGTGGAAATGATGAGTTGTTTCCTCTTATATTCTAGATAGTGTTTGCTTGACAGCTTATCATGGGAAATGAAGTAAAGAGATGTTCCTAGTGGTGAGAGAAAGAGAGACCTACTCATTCTGTCACCTCCTGTAACCTTTTTAGGCATTGTGGATCACTTGCATTTCTTAAGATGCTGTGGTAATACATTCCTGTTCATCTTCCACAAAGAGATTCCTTCCTTGTCTCAGTGAAGCAACAGGTAATGATATGGATGCACTTAATATATTTGATTTGCCTCCAGATATTCACATTCCGGTGTAAACATATCATACAGATATCTTCCCCCTTGAAAACAAGCAAAATGTCAAAAAATAGCACCACCCATGTGTTTACATCACAGGAGTCATAATGAGGAAACTTCAGTAATAACGTCTGCTTTCTGAGATGTATGCATTTAAGTATATTATTAGTCTGGAATCTATGGGAGGCATAGAAGCTCAGAACTAGTAGGATGAGCCCGTTGCCTAATGATGATCCTTGAGAGTGCAGTCTGAAATTGAGATGGAAGAAGATGTATTTAGGGTGCAAGGAGCCAGTAGGGTTGTCCTGGGAGCTGGCACTGTTTTCTTTGTAATATTCACCGTAGCGCTTGCTGAAAAACGGATCAGTGGGAAGAGGGTATTGACCCCTTTGATTCGAAAGTGGGTCCTGAATGGGTCTTCTGATAGATTGAATACTCTGTTAAAAAGTAATTCCTGTGAAAGCATAACGCTGCCAAGGTAGAGAGAGGGGTAAAGGTCGACTTGGTAATAAATGATAGATATATAATAGTCTAGGAAGATGTGCTAAGATTTTCCAAAGTTTGAAGAGGGATAATTGGTCTGTTAGGTAATTTTCCATTTCTTGTAATGTCTTCCCTTTTTTTTTTTTTTTTTTTGCCTATTTGCCCTCTCTTTACATGTTACATTTTGGCCAATTTCCCTGAAAAGCCTGATAGAGACTCATTATGTACTAAAGGATTGCAAACAGAATAACCATATAACAATGACTTTCCAGTTTCCATTGCATCTCACTCTGACTCCCTGCGCTACCAGTGGGATTATGCTTGGTGCCATGCCATGCCAGTCCCAGTGTGCTGCTGTTCTGTTGTCCCATGCTGTATAGTGGATCAGTGGATGAAGCTACACTATCTCTTCTGGTCTGCAAGCATGTAATTCCAGAGAGCAGTATCCCCCAAAGGGTAATAAACTCTTTAATAACAGTAATGTAGCAACCACAATCATGAAAAAAGTGATTACATTCTACATAAAAATATAAAAGCTCATTTGATCCTGAGGTCCCCAGTGGCACATTACCTGGACTTCTATTTAAAATATAACATCTCTTACTTATATCTTATTCAGGTCTTTTGTTAACACTAATATAAAACTCCAGTAAAATCGTCATTGGAGGAATTTAATAAGGAGTGGGTATGGCTCAGCAATCCATGCTGCTAATTCTGAGTCCTTTCATGAATCTAATCTGGAAAATCATGAGACTCTCTGCGTGAGCAGTATTACTGAACTCCACTTTGCATACGCGAGTATAGAGAAGGCAGATAAGAAGATCCCTTCTTTAAAAGCAGGGCTATTTCCTCTCCTGAAATGGGAATGCTTCTACAAGCATGTTTCATGA